TCTTGCCTTTGAGAGAATACTAACTTGAGCTTCGGAGCAATCTCACCGGGTTCCCCCCGGAGATTCCTCATCTTCTCTGTTTCAGGCTCCCTGTAGCTCCAGTCAGAGGCAAGGTCGTTGACAGCTAGGACCGGCCGGATTGCGCACCATCACATAATATACACTAGAAAATGAAATAGATATTCTGTCATTCTTATGGTGAAGCATGTATAATTACATCTTATGATGATAACTCTTTGTTAAGACATAAGATTATGTGAGGCATCCTATGGAAACTATTCTTTGGTGTAGTTAGGAGGGAATGCAGTGCATGCTAGAGACTTTTGAAATAAGGAGATCTATGATACTTTGATTGATACCATTAGCACTAGAATGATTGGATGCCCATGAGATAGGAGTTCAAAGATCACACTCTTGATGGCATGGTTCATAATCACAATCTTTATCAATAACAACAATTTTATCACTATCCAGAGAAGTCATCATAGAAAACATCAGGGTGTTATCCATGTGCTTCATACTTTGCCATTCTTTCTTCTCTATTAATATTATTTAGGGGAACTTTTTTCTTCATCTTCTCTCAATGAATTTTATCTTTACTACCAAAAAGAAGAAAGGGTAAATTACAGATTACTACCCTGTACTTTAGGGATAGTGTCAATTACCCCCCTGAACTTTCATTTGTGACAAAGACCCCCTGACCTTTCAGATTACGACAAAGACCCCCCTCTCTTAAGTTGAGTGACAGAAAAAGTTAATTTACCAAACTACCCACTTGAGAAACCTCTATAAAGTGGAAATTGCAACAAATGAATACCAATAAACTTCTATGAAAACCTGGAGTGCAACAAACACAGAATGCAATTAATATCAACTAAACCTGTAACAAATGGAAATTTAAAAAAAAAAAATTGCTAAACTGAACCCCAATACCTGTTTTAGAAAATTGTTGGAAAAAAGGATAAGGATTTAGAAAAGTTTAAAGAATCACAGGGAATCTTTTTGGTTAACTGAGAGAATGATAACAGAAGGGGGTCTTTGTTGGAATCTAATAGTTCAGGGGATCTTTGTCGCAAATGAAAGTTCAGGGGGTAATTGCCACTACCCTCAAATTACAGGGTAGTAATCTGTAATTTACCCAAGAAGAAAAGAAAAACTTATCAAGAAAAGGGGAAAAAAGATCAGGACAAAAATCAAGTCAAAAAGACTTTTTGGTCTTTCACCCATAGTATGGGAAAATGGTTCTGTACTATTGTCACTTATTTCTCATTTGTACAATTAATGCATGCTTTTTGATCTTGTTACTGGTCAGCTGGTCCCTGAAAAAACGTTTATATTATGAAATACCTGCTGTGGAAAGGAGCAAAACATAGAGGCTTACATAAATTATTTATTGCCTATACCTGCTAATATGCTCATATGTTTTCCATCTTATTGACAAATTTTGACTTGTGAAACTTGGGATGAAGTTGAAATATAAAGAACACCTTTAGGGCCTATATCTGCAGGGGCATAGCCCTGCCAATTCAGATTCATCATTGCAAATAGATGAATACAAACTCCAGCTATTCATGTTCTTGCATGTGCTTACAAACTCCAGCTATTCATGTTCTTGCATGTGCTTAACCACAGTTTTTTTTTTTTTTTTAATTTATGCTTATTGGCATTCAGGACCGACAATCAGCCTTTTTAGTTTTAGAAGGAACAATATTTGTCAAAGAAGCAGGTGTAATGTGTTAATCCATAAACTGACCATTACCTTTCAAAATAAATATCAATTTTCTCCTACAAGCCATAATAAATATGTTTCTTCTGTATTAGGTATAGTGGAAAACTTCCTTCCTCACATCTATAATAAATTTTGGTACTTTTTATGTGGATGCTAATTAGTCTAAAGAAATCCTTATGTTGTTTCCCCACAGGTTGGACCGGACTGTTTTGTCCATGTGTGTTGTTTGGCCATAATGTTGAAAACTTGAAAGAAGATATTCCTTGGACCAACCCATGCATTTGTCATGCTATATTCGTTGAAGGTGGCATTGCACTAGCAGCAGCAACGTCAATCTTCCATGGTATTGATCCAAGTACATCGTTTCTCATCTGTGAAGGTTTGATGTTTACTTGGTGGATGTGTGGTATCTATACTGGTCTCTTTCGACAATCACTGCAGAAGAAATATCATCTCAAGGTGAACTTGATTTCTTTACATATATATCACCCAACTTGCACTTGATTTACTAGCATATACACTTGGAAATAAGCAGACACATACAAATTTGGAGTATTTTATTGCACATTGGACTTTTACCTTTTTACCCTTGACACACAACCATGGAGTATTCTCCTCATTTACCAATCTATAATAACTGAGCCTAGCCATCTAGGTATCTTTATGGGGAGGAAAATCATATTTTAGATAGTATATGATCGGATATAATTATCACTGGGTCCTATTCATCTAGAAAGTTGGTTTTATGACCAAATTCTTTTGCTGGAGGGGACCAATTCTCTGGATGACTAATTGAGTATTTTGTACTGCGGCTATTACTGCCTTGGTCTAACATATCCAAAGGCTAGTTTCTGATACATCTTTGGCACATCAGCACCTAAAAGATTAAAACCACTTATGCATTAATGCAAAACTTAGTTATCGGGCATGGATTTATGTCAGGATATACAACACTAAAGGTTGAAGTCTTGTGTGAAGGTAGAATCTGATCTTATAAACTGCTGCAAATGAGTCATTTGAAGATCATTTGAAAATATCATTACATTTGGGATCCCCAATGAACAATCTACTATTGAACTCTGAATATCTGTATTAGTTACTTTATGCCTCTCCTTTCCAAAGACTATTTCTACAAATTGCAAGCTCTTTTTTTTTCCCATTTTATGTTGTTCCTTCGTAGTAGTTGGTGTGTGTGCATGTCTGTATGTGTATGCTATAGCCAGAATGCCATATCACTTTAGAAAAAAACATGCAAAGGATCATGACTATCCTGGTAATTTTGAGATAGCTTATTAGATATTTGTTGCTTAGACAAAACATATTGAAGTCAAGTTTTCTTATCACTTTTATGTTTCAATACAATATTGTTCCAACGAAAATAATATTCTGATTTCTTTTGTTCAAAACATTTTAAATTTATCTTTAAATATATATATATATATATAAATTTAAGATAATATGCTGCATAATAAACTAATATGTAAATAATTAGATTATTTTCTGATTAGAGGACAGAATGTTTAATAGATATTGATGGTTATCTCAGCTAATAGTTTAACCCTGCAACATAGGTTAATGGTTTTAGATTTTTTCATCAAAAGAAGGGCAAAGAAGGGGAAAAAGAACAGGAGCCCTAAAATCAAGTAGTAGAATCTAAAGGGATAAAATCTAATGCGATTTAAGGACAAATTAAAACTTGAAAGAAAGTGGAATATATGTGATTTCAAATTGTGAATTGCATTAAAATAGTTGCTAAAGAGGTCCTTATAGAATCAAAAGATAAAAGAAAATTATCCAAACAGACTTGGTGGTGGAATGAAGAAGTTCAACAAGCCATTAAAACAAAGGGGCCTATCAAACAAATACAAAATTGAGAAGTTAGAGATATAAAAAATGCTAAAAAAAGAATCGTGGGAATCAATAAGTGAATTTAAAATTAAAGCATATGTTGAACTATACAAGAAGGTGAAAAAGATGGTGAGGTGGGCTTATTATGATTGACCGACTAGTTCAATATGATTATTAAAACAAAAAGAATGCCAAATGAGTGGAGGAAAAGTCCAACAGTTCCTATATATAAGAAAAAAATGGTGTTATATAAAGTTATAATAATTATCATGAAATTAGGATAATGAGAGTATAGGGGTGCAAACGGACCGGATTATGATCTGATCCAACAACATTTAAGATATGAAACTAAAGTATCAAAAAAAAACAATTTGGGTTCATGCCAAAGAGACCAACCATGTAAGTTATCTTTTACTTAAAAGATTGAGAGGTTAAGAGAATAAAGGATAGATCTCTGTCTGGTATTTCTATGATAGGGCCCCTAGAGAAGTCATTTGATGGGTTTTGGAAAAGGAGGAGATTCACATTGATATCGTTGGGCATATATATAACCAATGTCAAGACTCAGAAGGGGAGATGAGAGTTGCCGTCACAATGGGTTTACACCAAGGTTATGTTTGGTTTGAAGGAAAAAGTAGGGAAACCTATACAAGGTTTGTAAAGGATTCCCTACATTTCCCTACCTTTCCCTACTTTTTCCTTCAAACCAAACACAGCACAAGGGACAGCACTTAATTCATATCTTTTTGCATCAGTATGGATGAACTAATTAAACATTTATAGGATGAGGTCCTGCAATATATTGTAGTTTGCTGATGATATAGTATTGATTAATAAGATTAAAGATGGTCTGAATGCAAAGCTAGCACAATGTAAAAATGATTTAGAATCATGGATAAAAAATGATTTAGCATCAGAAGGTTTCAAGATAAGTCAGACTAAAACAGAATACATGTATTGTAATTTTAGTAAAAATAGTAGTAACGATGGTGGTGCAATGAAGATTGATGATCAAGAGATGCCTCAAACCAAGCACTTCTGGTACCTTGGATCAAAGACCTTGAAGAGGAAGTTGCCTATAGGATCAATTTATGGTGGTTGAAGTGGAGAGATACATATACCAATGAGACTAAAAGAAAAATTTTATAAGACAACTATAAGATTAGTAATTTTGGAACAGGTTCCTGGGAATCAAGAACTGGCATGTTCATAAAATTAGTTTAGCTGAGATGGATGAATGGAAAGACTAGAAAGGACAGAATTAGAAACTAGCACATTAGATTGGACTTAGTTGTAGACCGAATTGGTGAACTTGTAGTTTGTAGGTGTCCAATATTACTGATAAAAGATGGTGAGGAGAGAAGACTAGGAATCACTCATTACAAGTTACACAAGCATAAAATGAGCTTCAATATCCATTACTAATGTTTAGCAACTTTACATATAAATATGGACTTTCTAGGGTCAGTCAAACTATTTCCTTAACTAGGAAAACTCAAAATTACAATTCTACCGCTTATGAACTAACTTAAAGAAGCTAAATAACTCTTAAAATACTTGACCAAATACTCTGATAATTTAAACACGACTAAACTATGACTAGAAAAATCGAACAAATAGGCTGGACCCCACCTCCACAGACATCTTAAAATGACCAAAATACCCCTACTGTCCGAAAGCACAGAAATATGTAAAAACCAGAAAGTTCAAGCATCGACTCTTTTGTTCTTGTATCATAAGGCAGAGTTGAGTTGAATTGAGTATGTTACATTAATAAAACCATATAAGAATAACATATAAAAATTTCCAAGAACTTAAAAAAAAATAATGTGTCTAATTTGTTTTACTAATAACTTTTGTTAGCAATGGCCATATTTTATGAATATTTAGTTGAAAAATACTAAAACATAAAAGAAATAATGATAATGATTCCATGAGAAATTCTCAATGAACACAAATGAAAAGGTCCATGTGGTATTTCTTTATGATAAAGGATGTTTTACATTATGATTGCCAAACAACAAAAAATGCATGACATTAATATTATGGTCGTGTTCCATTCACACATGCATAATTGGATATTTGAATGTCAGGGATTTTTTAGATGTTATCACTTGATATAATGGATAATTTTGGATTTATCATTTGCTAATTCCCATTGCATTGTCTGCAGAACTCTCCCTGTGACCCATGTGTGGTGCATTGCTGCATGCATTGGTGTGCATTGTGTCAGGAACACCGAGAGATGAAGGAACGCCTCTCTGATAATATGGTCACGCCTATGACCATTGTCAACCCTCCTCAGGTGCAAGAGATGAATGCCAGTGAGAACCAGGAGTCTACGTCAACCTCCATTAATGGCGGTGAACATACTAATTTGCAGATGCAAGCCTTGTAGGATTTTGTTAGATTTTGTAGAAATGTTTGAAAGAGAATTTTTTTTGTTTTTTCCTTTCTTGTTCTTTTATGTTTTATGGAGCTGGTCAACTTCATACTGGACTCTGGTGTGCTTGTCAGCATCTGAAGAGCTGAACCATCCTAGATGTTGATGGGAATTGAGAAAAAGAATTCTTTGAGGAATACAATACACCTATGGTGATGGCATTGCATTTAACTTCTAAATTTATGAATCTCCCATAATGAAAGGCTGAAGACTCTGGAATTTCGGATTTGCTATTAATTGTTAGTATGCCTCGGTAGTTTCACTTGGAAATTGATCCAAAAGGGTTTTTACTTAAAAAATTTTGGTCGCTTGCCTGAACCATTGGATTTATATAGATTTTTCGGCGAAATTAGATACTATACTTGTTACTTACAGATGATCAGTTCTAGATTGAGCAGGGTAGTAGACGAACAGGAATCCTGCTAGTAACTCGGATGGGATAAGGTTGATGATGATGGTGGTGCTGTGACGGTGACAATGGCTTTATTTAACAATTAGGGTTGAAAAAGTTCTAAGGTAAACTGAAGGGGATGTGGGTTTTAATAGTAGGAACTAGGAAGTAAGGTTACCAATGCAAAGATTGGTGCCAAAGATGCCCCATGCTATAAGCGATTAGTTAGTCCTATTTTGATGTCTTTTATTTTTTTAATTCAAAAAATAAAAATAAAAAGTTCATAAAGAGCATAGAGGATAACAAAATGTGAATCTGAATCTACAAACTTTAGGCCCTATCACCTTATCAGATTTGGATTCAGATCCAAATGGATACATAAGCAAGATCCGGTCCATCTATAGGGTAAAAGAAAAGGGAGAATGAAACTCAAAAGTCGGGTCATGTTGAGTGCTGACATTAGCATGTTGCATGACCCATGTAATTTTGGAAATTGGCTGACACAAGTCACACAATAGCAATACTGGTTGCTTTGGCTTCATGTCTAGTAGACCACCATGTAAAAAAGTTAACATTTATTTTCATCTCTCCACTAGCATCTTCTCTCCCCTTCTTACAGCAAGGTCCAAATGAAGTTTTTTTTTTTAAAAAAAAAAAAGGCTGCGTTTGGGTGCAGTTCAATCTTATTTGCAATAGTACAAATGCATGGGAGTGCAAATGAAAAGAATGCAAAATCTGGTTTAATTTGATTTTGGATTTTATTTCATTATGTTTCACCTTTCACGTCTTGTTTTATTTCATTTGTACTGTAATCAAACAAAATAAAGTTCGAAATAAAAATAAATCAGAATTTATACTATCATAATTTTGCATCGGTGCAAATTTATTTGCACTACGACCAAACACAAGTGACAGAAAGAAACAATAATATTGATCTGATTGAGCATCGGTAAAGCTGTATCGGAGCACCATTGTACAGGAATAAAACTAGAGCATTATGCCATTTTCGCCGGTCATGCAACGCAAAAATTCCTATTGGCGTCGCCCGGACTCGAACCGGAGACCTTCAGTGTGTTAGACTGACGTGATAACCAACTACACCACGACACCATCGAAATCATCGGTAATTGATGATCTAAAACTAATCAATCCTTATTAAATCGAAATTGCAGCTAAAAAGAGATGTGGAAAACATTTACTAAAAATAGTAAAAGACTTAATGGTTCACTGAATTTAAAAGAAAATTTTGTACGCGTTTTGGCGTCGCCCGGACTCGAACCGGAGACCTTCAGTGTGTTAGACTGACGTGATAACCAACTACACCACGACACCATCAATGGCATTAATTAATCCGAAACTCATTAATCTTATTAAACCACAAGGGGAAAATTACTAAAAACAGCAAAAGGCATTCATTAATGTTCCATTGAATTTAAAAAGAAAACTTTTTATACGTGATGGCGTCGCCCGGACTTGAACCGGAGACCTTCAGTGTGTTAGACTGACGTGATAACCAACTACACCACGACACCAGTTATTCTTTGTTGTAAATATATCTTATATCAGAGTTAATGAATGGGTTCTGTATGACTCTTTGGACTGTTTATGTCAATTCTAGATTCATGATTTTGTTCCAATTGAGTCAGTCTCAGATCATGTCTGCTCAGAATCAACTATATTATTACCTAGCCGAGTTGGTAAAATTGTTAAACCAAAGTCAATTAAAAAATACTAGAAAACAAAACAATTCAAGTCAGGTTAGTTAGTTTCATTGGTTTGATTAACAACCTTAATTAGAATTAATTATTGTTATTTTTTATTATATAAAATATAAATAATTATTAGTTATTTAAAAAGTTAATATATAAAACAATTGTATACTCTTATATATTTCTATTGTTTATCTTTCACTTAATAAAGCCCGTGCATCGCATAGGTCCCTGCTAGTGTGTATTAATTACAAAATTTTAATTTATTAACATGTAAATAAATAATTTAGTATTTTTCCCGAACTCAAACAAGAGACCTTCAATGTGTTAGACTATTTTTATTTTTATAGGGCTTTACCCCGAAGAGAGCCCTTCTAGAAATTCTTGATTGTGCTAGACTAACATGATAACCAACTACACCATAACACCACAACACCAGCTATATCTTAGTTAATTTAATATCTTCCTTGTTAATCCATAATAAAAATTGCAAAAAAAAGTAAAGTATACAAATATAAATTAATGCCACTCAGAAATTGGCACAAAATTTTTATTGGCATCGCTTGGACTTGAACCAAAGACCTTCAACGTGATAACCAACTACACCACGACACCATCTATATCTTTAATAATTTAATCCCTTCCTCATTAAATATATACTACTATAAAAAGCACGAATGACCTCAAGAATATTTCCAGAATTTTCTAAGGAGAAAATTTACCACTCTATATTTAAATTTATTGATAAAAATGAGGGCAAATAGGGTAATCAGTTATTAATATTAAATAAGTTGAAAAGAGGCCATTTTAAGATATTCAATGCATTCAATTATCTCTCATTAAATCCAACATTTAAGTTATTAACTTGCACTCATGTTCATTGAATCATATATTTAAGTCATTTTTGTTTATTCTCATCATTAAGTTCTTTTAACTAAATCCATACTTAATAAATTAATAATTCCAATAACATAAAATCTTATACTTTTAAAATCTACCTAGCAAAAATAGTGTTTTCATCTAGGTGGTGATAAGAAATTAATTAAATCATTTTGGGTCAAATGGGTCAATCCGTGTTGCCACAATTAAATAATAAAATGAAGAAATAAAAAAAAATGGGAACATCTTTAACATACATATTAGACAATAACAAGTATGATAAATAACAAATGTTTTTATTAATGATGGAAATTGAATGTAAAATTTAAAACTAATCGGGATTAGAAATATTTTTTCTATTTTCTCCCATTAATTCCTATATTAAGATATATTTTTCTCATCATTAAATTCTTCTAATTAAATCCATAATATTAATTTTAATAATATAAAAATAAATATTTTGAAAATTAAATTGAAAACAAAACTATTTTCTTCCCTCCCAGTGGTGGGCAAGCAATTCGACCATTTGGGATCAAATGGATTAATAAATAATGCCATAATTAAATAATAATAAAATAAAATAAATAACTATGAAATGTAAAAAGTATTTTTATTAATGATGAAAATAGAATACCAAATTTAAAATTCAACTAGAAGTGAAACGTTGTCATAGTCAAATAATAAAACTTTTAATAATAGAAAATACAAAGAATCATAAAAATAAAAAAAAGACAGAAAATTTTGGGCACATATCTAATGTTATATATTTATAAAAAATAAAATATTGGGTACATCTCTAATATTATGCAGTCATTATATTGAACAAAAAATAGTTTTATACATAAGAAATAATTTTACCAATGATGTATATGTAATACAAAATTTAATGTCAACTTAGAAATCAAACTATTTTCATTTTAGATGGTGGGTTAGTGGTTTGAGTCAAATGATACTATAGACGAACAAGAATTAAGTGTGATAAGTAAAAAATATTTTATGTGATGTAAATGAATATATAATTTGAAGGAAAAAATTATAGCCAAAGTTGGTTGTACATTTAAAACTAGGTTGCAGGTTGGTCCATCCCTTCTCTCTCACTCTCACAATCATCTATCGATCTCCCACTCCCTCTATCTCTTCCACTCTCTCAACTTCTGTCTATAGCGAAATCAAAACCTCTCTCTCTATCATTCTCCCTCAATCTCTTTCATTCTTCTCCCTCACTCTCCCTCTTGGTCAATATATCATTCTCCCTCGATCTCTATCGTTCTCCAATTGGTGTAAATTTCATAGCTAAGAGTTTTTTGTGAATTTTTATCAATTTGGTGCTATGATTTTTTAACTATACCAAGTTGGTCTCATGTTCTTTTATACAATTTGATTAATACCATATAAGTATGTAAGAAAATAAAAAAAATAACGAAAGAGGAAGCGAGAGAAAAAATAAGGCAGAACGATAGAAATTAAGGGAGAATGACAGGTCGACTAAGAATGAGAATGAGAGAGATTGAGGGAGAATGATAAATAGAGAAAGAGAATGAGAGAGATTGATATAGAGAACATAAATACAAAAACCAAAAACCATTTTTATTTATTTTCAAATTACACAGTCGTTGAATAGATAAAGATGACTATGAGAGTGAGAGTGTATGAGGGATAAGCTTTTTGTGTATCCAACATGGATTAGGAGTCCCATGTTGGCAACAACCACATAAGCTTCCGATGACATGGCGAGAGTTTTTATAATTTGAAATGTAGAGCCAAATATCAAAGTTTTGTTGGTTTATGAATCAACTTGTAGCCTAATTTTAAATGTACAACCGGCTCTAATAATAATTTCCCCTAATTTAAAACCAATCCAAAAGCAAAGATATTTTCTTATCTAGATGGTGGGTCAACGATCCAACTTTTCAAAGAAACCCATGATGTCATAATTGAATAATAAATATTTAAAAAAAAAGATAGAACACCAAAAATAAAAATGTACAGAATTTTGTCAAAAACATTTGAGAACATTTCTGATGTTATATATTCATCATATTAAATAAAATAATTGTTAAAATAAAAGTTATTTTTATTCATGAAAAAATGCAATACAAAATTTAATAATAATAATAATAATAATAACAATAATTTTTATTTGTTGCAAGCATTTAAGTTTATTTTTAATCATATTGTTACTTTTGT